TCAGACAATACGAGGCGGCCCGAGGGATAAACAACATGAAACAGTGAGCCCGAGCTAGACAGTAGCCGAGCGTGATATCGTACAGGTAGAGGGAGGAATATGGACAAGCTTTGTTGTCTCGATTAGCCTCTGCGTATCTCGATTGCTGGGCAACAACTTGCTACCGTTGCACCGTTGCGCCGTATGGAGGGGTTCAGGGGTCTCCTTTGACCCGAGGCATCACCATTTGCGCTGCAGACAGTTGGTGAAGTCTCGTCCCGAGGTTGTGCAGAATTTTGCCTGCCCCTCCAGGTGGGCTTGGTCGAGAGTGAAGGGAGGCCTAGATGCCAAACGAGATCGACATAGGATATGTGGTGGAATGAGCTTCCAGCCAACACCGAACGTCCAAAATGCTTGCCAAACACCCGCATATGAACAGCTCTGAGATCCCAGAGCCAGAAAGCCAAGCACTAAGACGCCGCCATGCTGCATAATGATGACATAAAAAAGGCATTACTGAGCCTGCGTAGCCAGACTCGTATTAGAGCATAACCTGAATGTCCAAAGACACCCCTCCAGCTTACGCCGGGTTGCCCTTCATTCTCTTTGCCATCCGCGGCGTAGGCGGCTTGCCCTTGTTCTGGACTCCATTGACCTGAGGGCCACCCGGGGTAGGTGCCTGGGAGCCGTCCTCCTCCATCTTCACGCCGGATGGGCGTCTTCGCTTGTTGGAAGCTGGAGACGTGTTTGCACTGGGTCCGCTGGAGCTGGTGCCTTGCTGGCTCTGTTGCATCTGCATGCCGGGTGCCTGCATGTGGCCTTGCGCAGGGCTTCCAGTGACATGAGGCGAGCCAGGAAGCTGCATGTGCGGCTGAGCCGGGCTCGCACCCATTGGGAACTGACCGAAGCTGGGTGTCCTTGGAGCTTGGGGCATGGGCTGACCGTTCATGACTTGCGGCTGGGCGTTGATCTGGCCGACGTACTGCTCAAGAGCAGCGTAGGGGCCGAGGTTAGGGTGGTTGTGGTAGAAGGCGAAAAGGGGGTTCATTTGGCCGATCACTTCAGCAATCTGCATGTCATCTTTAGTGCCGGAGATCCACATGCATGCGCGGGCGAGCTGTCACATACCTCGAGGAACTGGAACACAGCTTCGGTAACCCCCATACCCCTCTTGACCGCCGACTCCGGAAGATCCACCAGTGCTTCTGGCGGAGGATTTTGCGGGGACTTCATCATACGAGCCTTGCCCTTCTTGCTCATTTCTGGGGAGGTCTTGGTGTCAGGGGAGTTAACCTTGTGCCACTCCTTCACCCAATTATGCACGGGCTTCGCAGCTTCGATAGCGGCCTTTCTAGAAATGTATTCTTCGTGGTTGGTTGTCAAGAATTCAAAGAGTTCAATCTTTTGCTCCGCATCAAAGTGGGCTCTGACGGTGCCCGTAGCGACAAGCTGCGCGCAAGATTAGAAGCTGTATCTGTCCTCGGCAATAGAAGCTTTTAACTTACGTGCGAACCGCTATCGTACCAGTAGACCAAACTGGACTTCGTGTTCTCAATCCAATGGCCGTCGCCGGGGAGTGGTCGATCCGTCGTCCCCTTTTCCATGATCAACTGCATGTTCTTGACACCGCTGTCGAAGTGCGTGTGGAAGTATCGAGGAAGTGCGGGGAAGGTAATCTCGTATTGCTTGTCTGCCTGGTCTTCGACGTCGGTGATGTGTACAGAGTGTCGGAATACGCCCTTGGTGGAGAAGAATTGATTGACGAAGCTATTCCAGTAGGACAGGTCGTCTTTGCCCTTGGGGCCCTGGACTTTTTGTTAGTGAGCTGTGACTGAGTGCTGTCTTCAGTTTCAACTTACGGGGAAGCCGCTCAAATGTTCGCTAAACTGCATTAACTTGAGTAGGCAGTGTCCCTTCATTCCTTCCCTTCTTTGTTGTTGAGCAAGAGCCATGCTGTTGGCAACGGCAGCCTGGGCCGCAGCCTGCTGCGCGGGGTTCATTTGTTGCGGTCCAGGTTGGGGAGCCATTTGAGGAGGACCCTGCGGTTGAGCTTGAGGCTGAGGAGGCTGCGGTTGCTGGTTCGGGGCCGGGCCCGGAGTTTGAGACGGCGTGGGCTGTCCTGCAGATTGAGGGTTGACGGGTTGCGCGGGCTGCTGCTGTGGTGTCTGATGCGGTGTCTGCTGGGGTTGCGGTTGAGGCTGCTGCGGTCCGCCTTGGGGTTGCTGGCCCTGTTGCTGCTGCTGTTGCGCTTGCTGCTGGGCCTGTTGCTGAGCTTGTTGCTGAGCCTGCTGTTGCTGAGCCTGCTGCTGAGCCTGTTGCTGCTGGGCTTGCTGCTGTTGCATTGCCATCTGGGCCTGTTGGAGGTTTTGCATGTGCTGAGGGTTCATCTGCACCGGCTGGCCGGGCTGTTGTTGGCCCTGTTGCATCTGTTGATTCTGTTGAGCGACGGCTTGCTGCTGGAGAGCGATCTGCTGAGCGAGCATCGCCTGTGCCTGGGGGTTGTGTTGCTGCTATATCCTATCGTAAGTGATGTGAGTACCAAGTTGGATATGCGATACTTACCGGCCGCATGCCCTGCCTCATAGCCGCGATCTGAGCTGCGTTCATCGGGTTCATTGGCATTCCCATCGGCATACCATTGACGCCCGCCATATTCGCGTTGAAGGCCTGCTGAGCCATGAGCGCTTGTCGTGCCTGTTGCTGCTGCTGGAACAAGCGCTGCTGTGCCATCTGGGTGGCGTGCGCCATCGCCGCTGGAGTTTGGACTACGCGACTCGGTCAGTAAAGGAAGCAAATAGACAAGACACCGAGGCGAGGCGCGTGGGCTCAACATACAGTTACCAAACTGATTTTGCTGGAACATTTGGTTTTGGGCAGGATTGAGATGCTGCAGAGCGTGAGCGTTCGGACCTCCAGCACCCGGCGGCATGCCGCCCATCAACTGATTTGGATTAACCTGACCACCAGGCCCTGATACTGCCATGTGCATCTGGTGAGGCATTCCTCCGCCCGGGCCTTGCTGCCCTGGGTTGTGAGGCATACCCTGGGCCATGGGGTGCCCGGGTACACCTGGATGCTGTTGCATGCCGGCAGGATGGCCTGCAAAAGACGGTCCCATACTCGTCATCATGTCTCCGGCGTGTCGATGATCCACAGCGTGGATATCGACGTGTCTATCCTCCGTACTATCTCATGCGCCAACGTCCAAAGGTGGTCTATCTCGACGACAAATCGGTAATCGGGGCCGCAAAGGTACGAAGGATTGGGGCGGCTGGAGTTGCGGAGATGGGCGCGACGCGGCAGCGATGGAGTCGTGATTTGCAAGACGCGGGAAGTGGTGTCAATCGCGTGGTGCGGGTGCGGGTGCGGGCGGGCTCGACTAGCGTTATCGATTGCGATAGGAGTCGTTTAATGCGAACGGTCGGGTCAACAGGTGAAGAGGGACCGAGAAGGCATCGATGATCGGCGTGACGACAACGGTGGGTGGGCGATATTGTGGTAAGGAGGTCGGGATGCGACGACAAACAACGAAAGAAGTGGAAGTGAGATGTAAGGGGAGGTGAGATGGCGGGTGGGTATGTGCCCTGCGACCAAAGAAGAGCCCGACTGAGTGACGGGGTAGAAAGTTGGCGTCGGCAAAGACGTGGGCGACTAGAGAAGGGAAAATGCGTTGGTTGTCTAAGGTAATCTCGAAAGGATGGATACGACGGACGCAAAGACGTGTCGACGTTTCGCGCGATAGCGAAAGCGAGCGAGCGGAAACAGATGTGGGAATCTCGTGAGAGTGGACGACGAATGCTTCAATCGACCGGTGTCGATGGCATTCGGAGAGCGGGTTGGTTCGAGATGCCCAATTTTTTATTGCTTAAGTCGAGCGCAACGAACAAGCCTTTTCCGCGCCGCCTTGCCTTGCCAGGAAAGCGGGAAGGAGAGAGGGAGAGAAAGATTTGGGGGGGTTTTTTTGGAGGTGGGTGAGTGGTACGGTGCGTGCGGTGCTGGCAGGCTGGCTGAAGAAGAACGGACGCAGAGACGACGCAACCAAAGGGAACTGGGCTGGGAGAGAGTCTCTGGCTGGGCGTGCTGAGCTCTGGCTCTTTTGCAAGCGGGCAGCGGAAACCCAAGTGATTTGCTTTGGAGGTTGGCTGTTTGGGGGTGTTTGCAATTAAGCAGTACTACGGAACGAGATGAGTGTCCGGAGCCCCGGTAGACTGGAACAAATTATAAAAAAAAAGAGGCTTCAGCCAGGGGTGTTTGAGGAGGAGTAGGAGGCGCTCCAAGTGGTGTCGTAGAAATGGGAGGTTGTATGCGTACTCCGTAGAAAGGTTGAAAGACGAGGCTTCAACTTGCGGCCAAATCCAAGCCCAGAGGCCGATCAAGAGACAGCAATGGAAGCAGCGAGAGAGAAGGGACGGTAAGGTAAGGTAGGCAAGCTAAGACGAGGCAAGGTACAAGGCATAAGGCATAAAATGGCGGGATAAGGATCGAGGTCGAGCGAGAAAGAGAGAGGGCCCTGGGGAACGGGAACAGAGCAGGGACAGAGAAGCGTGAGGTGGGCGGGCGACCATGCCAGAATGTCGGGCTGCTGCTGCTCTCTGCTCCCATCGGCTTCGGGAGAGTGGGTCTAATCGTTTTGTAGGATACGCTATGTAACAATACGACATGTGAAAACATGGATATGCCGGAATGGGGTGGCGGGAAGCTCCAGAAAAATGCGGGACATGCCTTTATCAAGAAGAGCGGGAGGGCTGCGATCAGCACTTTTATGCAACAAGGCAAGCTTCTTCAGCAATATCCACCCAGGGGTCAAGCAGTGTAGCAGAATTGACCAGCACAGCAAAAGCACACCTCATTGCTCAGCGCACGCAGGAGAGTCCGGGCCGGATACCTTACCTCCAAGTCTCTTTTTGCTACCATCCTCTCACTAGGTGCTCCGTGTCGTCCTTTCAATCTTCCTCGCTCGACCACATCCCGAAATTCCGCTGCAATGGCCTCCACGGCAGCAACATGACAAATGTGCGAAAATGATAGCGCCGGAATCGCGTAGAGCTGCCCGTCCTCCGCCTGGGTTTTGCGTTCGCCAATGGCCACCACGTGTCCACCGAACCACCCGGTCGCTTTTACTTGCTCGACCCCATCACACACGTACCGGAGCACGGGGAAGAGAGAGGTGTTAGAGGTCATTTCACTCGCGGCTTCCCCCCCCCCCCCCATTGCTCGTCTGGTGACATGAACCTTGAGAAAGGGTCCAATGAGCTCAATTTAAATCCTTCTATGGCGGGGATCGGGCACTACGGCGAATATCCCCGAGCTCCAAGGTCACGTGGTCCTTGCGACTCTAGCTTTCCCAAATCCCCACCAAAACTTTTTTCGGACCCGACCAGAGATCCAAGCTCGAGTCACGTGTATTGGACGTGAATTGGAAGTGGATCCATTCGTCCAAAGGGTCGGGTGTCCGCCCGCCAGGGGAAGGAAAGAGAAAGAAAAAATCTTTGAGGCTGTGTCCCCACTATTTCCTTTGTGAGCCTCATCTATAAAATCTCTTCTCCTGCACGTCAGTCTGTAACTTCTCACCAACTTTGGGCAACCAACTTCTTTCTCACGCCACACTCTCGTATCGACAGCCAGGACCGCACTCACGCTGCATTCAGAGATCGCAAGCTTCATTTCAAGCTTTGCAACTGAATGTTTCTGCGCGCGCGTTTTCTCTGGCTGTCGCTGCGACGGCCTACATACGGGTAAGCATCATATCTTTTTCTTCACACGGCTCTCGCATCTCTCCGAATGATGACATTCAAGAAACATTGTCTTCTTTTCCCAACCGAATCGACCATGAAGAAACCTAGTCTGTTCGGGTTCCCCTCGAAAGGAACCTGTTACTTGCCAGTATATTCTGTCTGACACATCATCTTCACTCTTCATCAGCACTGGCATCTCTTGCCCTCAAGAGCAAACCTCGCTGACAAGTGTGATAGTAGGGACACGACGCACACTGCTACACCTCTCCGCTCTCTCATCACTAACCTTTCCAGCATCTCATTCATCACCCTCGAGCCACAAGGTTAGTACTTTATCTTTCTCCTCCACACATCGGCGCAACAACTCCAAACCACATCATGATGAAATTTCCACTTGTTCGCAGTTTTCACTCGAGTCGCGGCCTGAGCCTTGGCGGGAACGCTTGCAAAAGCGTTTCTTAAGCGACGTATGAGGGCTAACACTTCCTTGGATGTCTGATTTTTTTATCACAAAAACATTGTTTTTCAACGAACTTGACCTTTGCTTGACGGCAAGCTAACGGAATTTTCAAGAATAGGACGCTTCTATGGTATCTTACGTTGCTCAGATCGCGCGTCCTTCCGGACGCGCTACAAACAGCTATTAAGAATGAAATCTTCGTTCATCTTTGCAAACCATGTCGTTTCTGCCTTGCTCGCTGTGATCCGTGAATATGACGTGTGCCGGATACTCGCAATTGCATCCGGATCTTGTGGTTAAGGGAAAAATAACGTGGTAAATCCACACGCGATATCATTATAAAATGCCCACGATGTGCCCCAAACTCGCATTCGCCGCTATGTTCCAATCACGGTCCAACACGGGATTGTAGTGAACGTGTAGGACTGGTGATGTATCTATGACCTCTTGCCGGATGTGTACGATGAAATATTAGACCTCCAAGCCTGATGGGCATAACATCACCAAGTAAAATTGATCTACCACACACGGAGCCTCCGACCTGAATGTCCAAAAGGAAAAATCACCGACAACTCAAGCCATAAGCGTCTGGCGTCAGGTAAGGTAGGTAGTGGAAAGCACGCAGGCTCCAATAAAAGAGATGCCGTCAAAAGAGATGCCAAAATGACATCTTCAGTTGCGACAACATCAATCACATCACCGAACCAGGCAGGCATGTACAAAGCATCCCAAAATACCACACATTCCATAAATACCAGAATCGACATCATTGTCTCTCTTGAATTGATAACTTTTTGCTTCCCTCTGCCATGTCTCGAACAAACAACAACGATAAGAGCAACCTCCGCGTCCCTTCGACAAGGGTACTATTCCCAAAATGCAGCCCAACCCCACTGAAACAAACGCCATCACGGAGGCCGTAGCCATGCACCGCGTTATTCACGTTGCCCAAAAAGAACGTTCTAAAATCCGACCTGCACCCAAAACTGATCCCAAGAGTAAACGCCTCCCCCCTTTGCAGCAGGTGAACGGTCGGGGAAAAAAGCACCAAAGCCAAAGCCATCCCATCACAGCACATCCCCATGAACTGACCGCCCCCTTAGACGACGCGCAACCCTTCCCTAATAGACTCGGGTATCTCCCTTCGTCTGCCGCCCACGATACCTCTCCTGTTCCTGCCCGTCCGACCCCTACCAAGCCAATTCAGCTTGAGCAGCCGGCACAGCTCCTCCATCCTTCTGTTTCCCTCCTCGCTGCCGTCGCCCGTCGCGCCCCCGATGCTGGCGAGTATGCTCATGCACTGCAACATGCGTCCCACCATCTCGGTGACCTGCTTAGAGTCCTCGACGTTCTGCTCTCGCGTAAACGGGCGCATCTGGCCGTCGCTCCCGGCGCTGGCGTAGCTGACGTTGCTAATGGCACGGCTGCGTCCGCCGCCTCCTGCGCTTCCGTCGCCCAGGAGCGTCGTCGCGTTCGAGTTATAGCTCGCCACGGACGGATCGAGGCTCATAGCTGTGCCGGGTCGCATCATGCTGATTGCATCCGCGGGACTTGAAGAAAGCGCCGGATCTGGTAGCGGAGATGCGAGGGCTAAAGATGCGAACGAGGACGGGAGAAATTCGAGAGAAAGCCGAGAGAAGATGGCCTTGAGAGAGTCGTAGCGGGGTAGGATGACAATATCGCGGTAGGCCGTAAGTACGATACGACGCACATCTAGCACTGCCGATGCGGGACTGACATATGGGCCGCTATCGGAGGACTGTGACTTGACGCCGCCCCAGAATTGACGGGCTTGGTCCGGGTTCATGAGAACGCCACAGCCAGAGAACTCGAGGTCCAAGGGTAAAAAGACGGCCTGCATGTAAGGCAGAATCGAGGTGTAGGTAATGAGCCACATCTCGACGAGAGCCGGAATGACTTTGTCTTCCTGCGTGCGCCGGAGAGTGTGGTCCAGGGAGGCGAAGCCAGTCGACAAGAGCTCGCGCAAATCCTCGAGAATGATGTTGGGCGACATGCGTTGGATGCAGTATTGAATGTGCAACGTCACCAGCCTATTGAAATCCTCCACCGGCTGTCGCAGATCTTCGCCTTCAAAAATGACGAGCATCTTGGCTTTCAGATACGGCCAGGCATCGTCGAGCGCCATGCTGTTGAGGCCGTATTTGCCTGCGTCAATGGGTTCAGATAGATACGACGACTGATGCGTCAATGTCGGCAGGCTGCTTGGACCTGGCCATTCCGACGGGAGAGAACTGGACTCGACGCCGAGGTTGCTGCTCTCTTTTTCAGTCTTTTTGTCCCTTCGTCCCTTGCCAAACGACGTTGCAGTCGGGGCCGGACTAGGGGGTAAGTTGAAACTGTACAAACTCGAGGGGGCGCTGGGGTCTGTCGGTTTCGAATTGCTCGATGCGGAAGACAGCGGAAGATGGTAGTCATCCTTGAGCTTGTGCTTTTGCCGCGACAAAAAGTGATGCTTCTTTTCCTTTTCCTTGCCTTCCTTCTCCATGGTGGGCGTCTCGGGCACTGCTCTGATGGTTGCGGACGATGCGTTATTGAGATTATATATAGATTGGCCGCTGGTATCGATGAGACTACTCGTGCTGAAATTCCCGCGTTGTAATGATGCGAGCGCACTGCCGATCTTGCTCGGGCTAGGGAGCGGTTTGTCTTTAGGGTCGCCCTTGGTGCCGATCTTGACCGGACGGGAGAAGAGCTTGACCTTTGATTTTTCTGGCTTCACCGGCTTCGGATCTGGAATAAGTTGCGGCGTAGGATTGATAGGACTGTGCTGTTGCTGCTGCTGCTGCTGATGCTGCGACTGGGGCAAGCCAGGCGATGTCTGCCCCGATCGCGGGAACGCTGCGTTGGCTGCTGCGTTTGCTGCGTTCGCTGCCGTGGTCGCGGCGGCGGAATGGCTTCCAAGTAGGCCGTTGTGGTATCCCTGAGTTCCAAAGCCGCTCTCTCGTGGACCGCTTGCCTCGGTCAGGCTTAGCATGGGCGGGCTGAGTGGGCCCTTTCCGCTGCTCCCCCTCCTTGCGCTCTCGGCGTCTCCGTTGGCCGGGTTCGGGACGGTCTGTGATCGCTGTCGAGCGTGCTGGAGCTGTTGGTGCTGCTGGTGCTGCTGAGTGTTCTGATGTTGAAAGGCTGCCTGCGCCGCGATGTGGCTCGCGGAGAGGGCAGGGCTCGGGTGCTGTTGCTGGTGCTGATGTGTTGAAGATGAGTTGGCAGATGGGTGTGACATGCCCACCTGAGACAGGTTCGAGAGGCTCGTCGAGGGCAGCGTTGAGTCGAACAGGCCGGGCGTCTGGCTGTGCTTCCTCGAGTGTCCCTTGGTCAGAGGGCTCGCGGTGCGGGCAGCAGCAGCAGCGCTCACACTCCCGCTCAGTTCGCTTCCTCCTCCCGAGACAGGGCCTACTGGACCTCCGGGCGTGGTTCCCGACCGGTGAGCAGTCGGGCGCGAGAAGTTTTGCAGGCTGGCGGTGCTCGAGTTGGCCTGGGCGGTAAACTGAGCATAGATCGGGGTACTGGTGGAAGGGGCGGCGGGCGCGCTCGGAGCGTGAGATCGGGGCTTGACGAAGTGAATGGCGAGGTTCTCTTCGCTCGACGACGACTCGGCGCGGGCGGGCGGTCGTGAACGTTGCGGGTGCGGTGCGGTGGAAGCTGTCGAGCCCGGCAGAGGGCTGAAGCTGCCCGGCGCTCGGGGCGGCGGGGGTCGTGCTGGTTGCATTGTCGTGGATGTGTTAGGGTTCTGTTACATCTTGGATTTTCGGACGATTCGAGGATCGGGTGGAGGAGTCTTGAAGGTTTGTTGCGCTTGGATCGGTTTGTAAAAATGGAATGGTTGGTTTGTCGAGGGCAAGGGCAGTATGGAGAGGTTGTTCGTCCGGTCGGGCGATCAAGAGCACCTTGAAAAGGTGAGAGTTGTGGTGGTTGTGGTGGTGGTGCTCGAGGATTGAGAAACCTGGAAAGCTGAAAGAAGGGTGGTGGTGATGTAAGAAGGCCGGGGAAATACGAGGTGAGGGAGGGAAAAGGGTGGTAATGAGAAAGCGCGAGGAGTGGATTGCGCCTCACCCTCACAGAGCCGAAGTGTGAGGTAGACAAGGGACACAAAGATCAGCATCAATGCCCTCTGTACTCCGCAAGGTATTGCTGCGATCCAGTAGGCAATCTACCTTGGCAAGTGTCCGTAAGACAGGTACTCCCCATTGCATCTCACCTACCTTGCCGATGCCCTGCACGTAATTATACCTAGTTGTTTATCCGTATCAACACATCGCTTGCCATCGGTCAGCGGCCGCATCTAGGTCACTACCTAATCATTAACCCTGGACTATCAACTTCTCGTTGCTGAGGAAGCGAGCAAAACGGGCGGCCGTCTTCGCTTGCGGTGAGCAAATCCCCCCAATTGCAGCGCATCCAGCAACCTAACCCCCGCGGTCCAAATCCGGGTCAGCTCCCGTCAGATTTCCCATGTAACAGATGACCATGCTACCTCACCTACCCTGCCCGCCAGAACCAAGGAACGATGCCTACTGCTGTACTCAACAGTCTGGCGCATCGTGCGGCGAGCCAGCCGTGAGGTTCCAGCGTAATTAATTACTGCCCCCGAGTCCTTTTCTTCTGCCCCCACCTAATAGTCCTGCCGTGATCCCATCCCCCTTGTTCCCACCACTGACGCGCCGCGGGTTGCGACCCTGGCATGGCTTGGGCGGCGCATCCATGGCTTCCAGTCATCAGGAGGCTTGAGGGGGGCCGGCAGGCGGGCTGACTTAGTGTAATCAACCCCGCAGTTGTTCCAGGTTCCATCTTCAGCGGAACATTGGATTGGGACCAGCTGGAATGGATGGAGGGACGCGAAGAGGGGCAATTGTTCCTTCCAAGCCAACCCCAACGAGCCACACTCAATTTTCGTCATACCTTGGATTTCACTTATTTTTGCATCGTCTAAATCAACACAACGCAACCACAGCCTACCAAGCCTAATTGCCTTGCCCATCCAACCCACGAGACCACGACATCCCCAACCCAACAAACAATGGCAGACACAAACACCACCGCCGCTCCGGCCCTACACTTCTCAGCAAACTACCAATCCCCCGCAAACGAACCCTTCACCTTCTCCGAATCCCTCCCCGCTCCACCATCCTCCGCGCCCAGCGACAAGTCCGCCTACCTCAACGCCCTGCGCAAGTCCATCAACGCCGCCCAGGAGCACATCAATAAGGAACTCACCGCCCGCATGGAAGAGGACAAGGCCGAGGAGGCCGCAAAGAACGGTGGCACCACCGCAACCAAGTCGGCCGTCGACGAGGCGCTCGAGGAGGAGAATTACGGCGAAGAGGCACCCCCCTCAGACGACTGAAGCGACAAGCAACTCAAAGGGGAGGGAGGCATGAAAACTTTCTTGACAATTCACGGCGCCAATCGTACATTCTGTGCCACCTATATACGGGGTATTGCTGTATCATGCTGCCGCTCTCAAAAACCCAAGGCTATGCGAGTACCAATATGTACCAAGAACAAAAAACACAAGCAACGACACCAACACGCCTCAAACTACCGCCCGCCAGCCCGTTTATTGCAAACCCTCAATCACGAAAACCTTCGAGCCCAGTTTCCTGCCCGAGAGCTTTGCGGTCGCTGCGACGTTGCCTTGTTGAAACACGCATAATGGACCACGTTGTTGTCCGGAAGAACCGACACCACGCTTCGCCCCAGTCTCTTGTGGCAAGCGCCACATAGCCGCTCTTCAGTAATCGTCACCCTTCTG